AGCATCTGTCATCGTCAAACTACCTCTCTGTAGTGCCGTTTGCGTCGTGGTCTTCGTATTCTTTACCATGACGATAATGATGCTGCTGTTGATGATGTTGGTGATGATGATGATGATCTATAGCTTCTTCTTGTCCTCATCATTTCATTCGCGGCGACACTTGCAAAATGTCTGAGGTTGGGGAAGTCCCGGGCTGTTCAAGATTCAAAGCCTATACGCAGCTGTGATGGCCCCCCCCAGCACGAACCATCCTTGCTAGTGTGAGCCCACCCCGGATTACAGGGCTCCTGAGCAGTACCGGACTCAAACCGTGTCTCAATGATTTTCATCCATTACTCGACGCTTCGAGCTGAAGGACACAGGATTATTCAACCGTTACCAAGCATCCCGGCTCAGCCAAGGTAGACTCTGCGAAGAGCATGATGTAGTTGTATGTCTCGTTGCCTCGGAAATCGTCATGGTTGAGAAGCCACCTAGACATGGCACCGAGGACTACTAGTAGCGGATGAGCGGATGCACCCTCTATGCACTGCCTGACCAGAACTGGACAGCATGCATCAAACCACACCGTGCAGCTGGTCCCGTACATTGGCCCGGAAAGCTCAGCCCAGCCAAGGGGAACCGAAATCACAAAGACCGAGAGCGCCACTTGTGGGTGCCACGGGCATGCTTTGCCATCCTCAAGTCTTCGCCAAGAAAACCGACCGAAGCTGTGCATCAAAATGCTACTGATGCACTCGTAGTATGCAGAATCGCAATGACAATGTGACGGTGGTTGCCACTGGCGATGCCAGGAACAGCGAATGATGTGGCAACGACGTCGCAGATTTCGCCGGAACAGCAAACATGGCAACGGATTTTCTTGTGGCGATGGTAGCTCAATAACGTCAACAACAATGACAACCATCGACAACTCAACGACTATCGCATATAGGTAACACTAACAACAACCCGTACTCGCAAGAACAACATATCCACAGTCAAGCACCATCATGTCTACAGCCTAGGCATGTAAGAAAACCTAATATTAGTGGTTAAGCATGATACAAAGGTCAAACACGTGCTGCCTCCCCTCGAGGAACAAATTGTGTCAATGGAGCCTGTGGAAACATCGTGCCGACAATCCGAATTCTAGGAACCGTAGGTCTATGGAGGCCATAAGCCCCAGACATGCGTAGCCGTATGTCAAATGGCGCGGTGCTCGAACTAGCATGGCAGACCTATTTTAACTTAAACCGTACTTCAGGCGGCAACAGCAGCAAGTCCTGTTACAGCGGAAATACCTGTAGCAATCCTGCCATACCATTGTGTTAGTAGAAGAGATGTACTGCTAAGAGGAAATGATGGCAACGCTAAGTAGTACTGCTATAGTAGAAGTGTTTCTGAACATGGCAATCCTGCCTGCGCAGCGTGAGGCAATGCGTGCAACGATGTGTGCTGCTTGGTTATTCAATTGCTACCTGGTGATTGCCTCGCTCCTGTGTGACTAGCTGCTGCTGCAGCTGGAAGCAACTGAGTGGATATATGTGTTTACTTGATTTTGCTTGAGCTATCTTTCACTAAGTATCTAACCTTCGGCTCGCTCTACAACCTTCGACTTAAGTTTCCTCTTTAGTCACTCGGTAAATGCGGAATCTTTTGCCTTCTTCGAGCTTTGGGAAGATCGTCTGGTCTTTTGTTGTCGACTCGTTTCTGTCTGCAGCATCTTCCAGATCACCTGCAGGGCCTACAGCTTCGGTTTCCGACTTCCATGGCTAAGTTCGCACACGGTCCTGAGTTCAAGAGATTCTAGTGACGCCGGTCGAAGTTCTGCCGTCCCGGAGTGGAAAGCAGGAGTATTAATCGAAATGGTTTCAAGGTATTGGCCCAGAAACTCAACGCCGGCAGAGGCCCTCGTGACAAACACCCCGCAACTTAGGACACTTCGGAAGCTTCATCCGCAAAGCGTCTGAAGGCGGCGTGGCGCTCCCCACCACCAGCCCAGATCTTGGCACCTTCGTCGTCGTCCACCCTGGAATCAGCGCGCTTTTCGAAATTAGCATCCAGCATCCAAGCTTCAGCCCTCAGCCCCCACCGTCTTAGCGGTCTTAGCTGTGGGCCGGCCTGTGGAACTAAAGATTGCCCCGCACAAAAGGTCACGAGTGTTTACAGCAGAACCTCTTAAACAACATCTTCCAGCTGTTGCTGTTACTTCAGGGACAGGGACCGTTCAATGCGCGAACAGGTCATACTTCAGTTCAAGTTGTGATTTCCGAGAACCTAAATACACTGAAAGAAGCAATGCAAGCTAAATCCAAGAGAGTCTTTCACACAGCTGCGCCCAGGAGCCCATAGACCAAAGACAGGACTATGTCGAAGCAAGCGGCAGGTAGAATCCGGATTCGGAGATGCACCCGCTTTGCCATCCCGAGCCGAGACCAGCCTACAGCAGACGCTCTTCTCGAGTTCTCCGAGAGGCTTCCCAGGGTGAGACGAAAGAAGCAGAGGAAGAAGCCTCGACTGAAAGCTAGAAAGAAGCAGAACAGAGTGAGAGAGAGAGAGAGGAGCGAGAGGCACAAAGAAACGAGAGAGCAGGTTGAGCATTGCGGAGCAGTCAACGCAATGACACGGTGGGGCAGAGAAAATTTAGCACGACTTCACTAGCTCGCTGTTAGAAGGTGCAGAGAAACATCTCCTCTCCGGTCGTTTGACCGCACTTTTTGCCTGGTGTATGGCGTCAACACCAGTGTTGGAGCCGTATGCCTGCCAATGCCGGAGTAGGGCTGCAAAGGTTGCAGTTGCTTGGGGTTTCGGACCACGGTGGCGAGGTAGGCTTCGGAGCGCTTTCGTAGATTAAAGTCTGGAGTCTACTGATGCCCATGCTGAATGAGGCGTTCGTGGTGCTGTTTGCCCGCAACATCTGCATTTGGGACCGGCCGGGTTGGGGGAATCCGGGCTCCACTGGCGGTCGCAACGATGCCTCTCATGACGGACTTTAGTTGCGTGGCGCTGATGGCCTTCCCCATCTCGGGAAATTCTAAGAAGTTGCTGTAGTCCCTGCTGTGAAGACGCAGAGGCTTGCACCCCTGTCCGGAGTCCATCCTTGAAGCCATGTTCTCAAGCCGAACCCACCTTCGCATCATGCATTGTCACAACGTTTCCTGATGGAACTGTGAAGCCGTTTGCATTGCCTCCCAACCGCTTGCGCCCGTCAGCCCATCGGAACAGCGGATACTGAAGCCAGCGTAGAGGCAGAAGTTAAAATCTGGCGCGATTCCGGCGCAGTGCTTCGGCTCGGGCTGGGGGTCCAGATTCGCTGTACATATTATATGCTCTCGATCTCGCTGCAAAGATTTTACCATTGCAAATCTCACTCCATGCCCATGAAGCTGGCGACTGGTGGTGGACGAACGGTGCAAACACTGGCCTCCCACCGAATGTTGGCCGGCGATGCAAACATCTTCAGTAGGGGAACACCAACCTCACAATTGCTGGACGCTATGAGCTTCCGGGCTTTATGAGCTGTCGGCTGAAGCTTTTGTTGTTCATCGCGTGCTTGCCACCAAGGATACGAAGGCTCAAAGGCCTGACTGCTCTGGCACGGAAGCTGCCGAGTGCCAGACTCGAATCGATCACACTGCTGCCGGCGATCACCAGGTAGGCCCCAGGCACCTCCAGGGCACGATGAGGCAAAGGCTGCTTTGGACTTTGCACAACTTCTGACATAGCTTGCTCTGTCAGAGGTTGAGGCTCGGTTGAGGCTTTCCAGGCCCTTGCCGCCTTGCGGAAAGAGAGCCGCTTTGTGCTCGTCCAATCCGCCAGGGTGCCGTTCACGGTGTGGGTGATGTCAACTCCGTTGTAAACGACGCTTAACACCTGACGCTATGAATGAAGCTAGGATTCTGCGGTTTTGGATGTTGGGCGAATCCGGCACGGACCACCTGGGACCCCGGACAGTGTCCGCAATCGTGAAGTTGCAGGTCACTTCCTCGATGAACTCCTGGCTGAACTTGGACCTCAAGGCAGGACTTCGAGAACTTTCTGCGTGACTCCGAACAAGGCTTTCGTGCAGACGGAACCGTGGGGAAAAAAACAAAAAAAAAACATACCCTCTCTACTACTTTCACCTGTCCGACAGCACAAGAGCATCATAGAGGAGCGCATATCTTTTGGGTTTTTTGTCGCCCCTTTTCCTCTAGCAGTTGTACTTGCCGTCAGAATGCCTAGCAGGCGAAGGCAGGTTGTTGAGGAACCGGGACTTAGGGGATGGAGCGCATATCTAGGCGTCTGAGTTCCAGGCGTTCCGGCTGGGACTGTTTGCTGAGTCACGGTGGTTGCCAGGCCGGACACAAACACATCTCGGATGCTGGAGTCATTGTAATCAGCTCCATACCTGAAAAGAGGATTTCATCTTTGTGTAGACGAGGCTACTACCTCTTTGGGAGCCTTGGGTTTGGCCGTCAGCGTAAGCCCGCCGCGAGAAGTAGATGTTGTACTGCATAGCAGCAGAAGTGTCTGCCGGAATCGACCACTCAATGCTTCCTGCGGCTTTAGCTGGGATTCATGTCGAAACTGATCCTCGCTGCCGAGAAAACAGTGCAGCCAATACGCGTTACGCTTACACTGAGGATACCGTGCGCGATGGAATGGCAATGCCAAGCCAACACATGTGACACGTCCGCGGGACCTTGATGTGGGCTCCCTCTCTGTCGGAAGCCCGAAAATCCAAGGCATCCAATCCAACAAGAAACCCAAACGCTCGTGCTTCGGCAGGTGTCCTCCAAGCATGTTTGGATCCAGGTCGAAGTCAACTGCGGTTCAAAAGTCCGAAGGGCGAAGGGGAAGAGATAGACTTGATTGATGGCGTCACTTGGAGCTTCTACAAGTCTCAAGCCGAGGCCTTTGAAACAGTCCATGCAACCAAGCGGCCGAAACTCAAATCCGAGACGAGAACATCTTGGTCCAAAAGCGGTATGCCTGAGCTGCACAACGGACAAAGTACATGTGCCGCCGTGTGTCTTCACTTGCAAAGAACAGTTCCCAAAAAGCAGTGCACCTACCGGGGTGGTCTGCTCGTAGTTGACGGACCGAGTGTAGACAACCCAATGCCTCGGCAGTGGAGCGGCTGCCGGTATCTTTGGTGATACAGTTCGGTTTCCTCACATCTAGGCAAACAATACAGCCATTCCGGTGCATGGCTGCTGTTTTTTGCAAGTTCGCCTGATTGCGCAGGACTCCTTTTCAGATCACGGTTCCAGCGCTATTGCTTCCAAACAGTGTTGCACTCTTTTTTCCCGCGTGCCTAAAGCATGGAGACTGAGACACAATTCGAGGTCAGCCTGAGAGTTTGAGCTGACAGGTTTGCGAACATCATACACACTCGCCATCAGACTGCACTGGTTCCTGTTTCGTCAGGTCTCGCAGCACCGCATTGCTGAGACACGAACTTCGGGAGGCGTTTTGGTATGCTTTGGATGGGAAGATGTAACAGATCGGAGAGGAACACGCCCGCTGTGGTAGGTAGATGCTTGGTGGGGCCATGTATGTCCTGAGTATTAATCGGTCTTTGCAAAAGCAGGTGCGGGCAAGAAAGGGCCGGTTTACATATACCAAAACCAACCTGCACACAACACTTTTGAAGTGCTAGCTCGCTCTCCGGTAAGCTGGAAAGGGGCTGCAGCATGTAACTGCAGTCCGGTCCTGAACAGGCTTATTCCACTGACACCCCTTGGAGGTTAGCGACCGATACACGGCCGGCTTACTGAACAACTGCTTTCCCTGTTCAGCCCTGCACTTCGCCAGCCCAGCTCACTTAGAGGGTCGCTGGCCTTCAGCCTCAGGCTGAGATCCACTCAAACCTTCCAGCTGGCTATCCAATCAGACACGGTGCTCTTGCGTCTGATGCTCTCGTACTTGATCTTGCATTGGGCTCGTCTTGCGTAGATGTACAGGACATACTTGAGCTGCCTCGTCGTAGGCTGCTCCTCGCCTCCATTCATGAAGCAAGGTGCCAGACGATCCACCAGGTCAGTCTTGATCCCTGTCACCGGGACTCCTTCCAGCCTGGCTCCTGTCTGCAGCTCTGCCACCGTCAGCAAGGACAGTGTGTCCCTCGCCCTCACCACTCGAAGTCTTCCTGCGCAACTCTGTCCAAATGCAGGGCTTTCCTCACTGCTCTCTGCAACGCGTGCCGAAGCACGCTCCCTTGAAACTTTCTCCTCGTTTCCAGTACAGCGTCTCAGCTTGGAGTTCCCGCCACCAGTGGCTGCAGCTGCCGCTCTGCCCAGCTCCACCGGACTGAGGGCTGCTGCCGAAGAAAACTCGCCAGGATCCATGGCTGCGCGGGCTAACCCTGTGCTGGGGCCTAGGCCCCTGGTTCCAACACTTCCGTACAGCCAAGCCCAGCCCTTCAAACACAATACGTTTAACTTGTAGAACCCGACCATGGCAAAGAAATACACCATGAGGGCCCCTAGATCCCCCGAGTCATCTTGTGACTCCCGGCTCTTTTCTTGCACAGCGTGCGCCACTGACACGCAGCAGGCTAACACAGCTGCCGCCATGCCCCTTTCCTTCCAAGGGCAGCTGCTTCACTAAGGACTCTAGCCTGCTTGCCTCTAGAGCCTTCGTGCCAAGATCGGCAAGATTCATTGATGTGTCCACCTTGCCAATGGACAGCTCTTTATCACGAACAGCTTGCTGTATCCACATCTCCTTGAGGCTCAGATGCTTCACTTTTCCACATCCTACCCTCTGCGCCAACGATCTTGCAGCGGAGCTGTCGCTCAACACTGCGTGCTTTGTCCTCCACCCAAAGTGCTCGAGGATGGCGTGCGTGAGCTTTCCTTCCGCTGCCGTCTTGACCATGGCATAGAATTCGGCCTCGCCTGAGGAAAGGGCCACCAAGGATTGCCCACGGCAGCAATCAATCAGATGCTTCCCGAATCTCTGGTAAGTCGACGACATGGACTTTCAGCTCTTCTTGTCGGTCGCCCAGTCGGAGTCGCTGAATGACTCAAGGACGCTGGGGGCCTTCTGCAGCTCAAAGTGCCACTTCTCAACAGGGTACGTCGCGATGTACCTGCCGACTCTCTTGAGCCTGAGCCAGTGGATCTCGAGGGGCTTGCTCATCCCTTCGGCAAGCTCACTCGCAGCGGACTGGAGCGAGGGGCGGTCTACCGACATGTACGGACGATGCCTGCCACTCGACTCGGCGGAATACATCCGCTCTCTGCTTCTCAATCTCACAGTCAACAAGCCTGTTTCCTGCTCGTGTGGCCTTTGAGGACGGTGTGTCTACGTCTACACCCCTGCACCCTTTGAGCTTTAGCTCCTCCACGACCTGCTCCGAGTAGTTTGGGTCTGCTTCCCATGTAAACCCAGAGCCTGTCCACTTGATCACTCTGCCCAAGTGCCGACCAGAATCGGTTTCCCCTCCATGCTTGGGGTCCCCAATCCTCGGCAGAACCTTCACTTCATAGTTCTGCTTCATGATCTCGTCCAGCTTGTCAAGCTCCCTTGCTTCTCCACTCGCCAAGAAGTCGTCACCGTGGCACGACAGCGCCACGTGACCACCTGCAAGGTAGTAGGTGTTCGGGCAAAGCAACAGCTCGCTGTAGCCGTTGGCTGTCTTCACCTTTCGGATCTTCGTTCCCCACTGTCTTGAGGCTTCTCTCGTTCCATTCATGGCCTTGCGCAGCTCCCAGATCGTGTCCGGGGTGCTTTCAGAGGCCGGTGGAACGACACCGTTCACTGTTCTCCGCATGGAAGAAGGCAACGCTCACGTCGTACCTGGCAACAAGCTTCTTGCTTACGCTTTGTCCTGGCTTCGCGGTCGCGGCGTGCGAGATCACGGCGCGATGCACTCTAAGAGGGGGAGTGCCCATCGACACGTCCTCCCGCTTATAGGTGTTCACCTCCTGCGCCACAAGCCGGCTCCTCACACCGGGCTTTCCATTGATCTCCTTCGCGGTGTCCACCCATCGGGACCTCACCAGGCGAAGTCCCTTCGCCTTCGCCCCTTGGTAGCTGATGTCGCTCTTGACACCAAAGGCTTCCATCTGCTTCATCTCCTTCGCTCTTCCTTCCTTCACCTGGTCCTCGTCGTGGAGGGCTTCGCCTGTCCTCTCGTCGTACACGGCACACTCGTGGAGTGTGGGAAGCCCCGCGATGACCACACCATCATCGTCTCCCTGCTGCGCAGTTCTCGCTTGGCCGTGCTCGGTCCCGAGCTGCGACCTGAAGCGCCGCGTGGCTGGACTGCTCCACCGCTGCCTTCTGCTGAGGCGCGCTTCCTTCCGAGGAGCCTTGTGACCGGCTTCCATCGGGACATCCCCTCCATCTTCGGCCTCCTGCCGGCCGGTTTCCTTCGCCACGAGTTCGGTGAAGCCGCACGGCCGTGATACACACGCTTCTCGGCTTGGCCATGTTGCCCTCGAGCCTCCCTTTGCGGAAGGGGTCGGCCACGGGCCAATGGCGTCCTCCCGGGAACACCCCGAGGCTGCAAGGAGTCCCGACCGTCTTGCCCAAGAACTCCTTCACGAATCGCTTCTTCCACCCGTCGGCGGATGGAACGGCATCTGGATACCGTCAGCTGTTGCAACGAAGTGCTCGTCGTTGCTCAGGCTCTTCCCTAGCCAAACCCCGCAGGCCCAACGATCCTCAAGCTTCCTAAGACCTTGGTTAGAGATCTTGTACAGAACAGCCTCTCCGAACTCAGCAACCTCACCCTTGTACGTTCGACCCCTCAGCCGCTCATAGGCTGTCCGGCCATCCTGCTTGACACTGTACCGTGTCACCAGCCCGCCCGCGTGGCGGACCATTCAAGGGAAGATCAGGGAGTCCTCCGTGACCTTTACCTCGGGATACGGGCAATCTTAAGGGTTCTCACCTGGTTGCCCAGCTCAAGGACAGCGCGTTCAGCTGCGCCGTTTGCTTGGGAGTCCCCCTTGGGGGTTGGTTGCGCTGTGGCCTTCTTGAAGTACCTTCTCACCAGGAGGTCTGCTACCGACCTAATAGAGCGTTCGGTGCTCACAGTCATCACGTCGGGGTGCCCACAGAACTTAAGCCCTTCTAAAGCAAAAGCAGTAGAGTAAGCATCCTCGGCTCCCTTGCTGTTCGCAACACCCGCACACAAGGCACCCGACTTCTGGTCCCTGCAAACCAACACGGTCTTAGTCTTAGACTCGGGCCTGGCCTCTGTAAGCGTCCTCGGCTCCCTTGCTGTTCGCAACACCCGCAAACAAGGCACCCGACTTCTGATCCCTGCAAACCGACACGGTCTTAGACTCGGGCCTGGCCTCTTGGAGGTCGCCGATGCTCTGCACCGCGTTGTCCTTGCCCAAGGCTTTCGTGAAGAAGCAGTAGTCGATACAGTACCTGGCTGTGTCCTCTTTCTTCGCTTGGGGGAACCCTCTTAACTTTGGCTTTCCTACCCGGTTTATGTCAGGCTCCAGGTCCTCCTGAAAAAGCGTCGCCCAAAACCGCGTCCGCCTTCTCGCCTTCCCAGGGCTCGTCCGGGGAGCTGGCCTCAGCATCCATACAGCTTTGGCTGCTTTCGGGGGCTTCTTTCTACATCCAGTAGACACCCCTGTCCTTGACCAGAGGAGTCCTTGGGAGTTCCACCAGCCGCTCCTTGAGCCGCTCACCTGCCTGCTTTGTTAACAAGCACTGCGTTCCTGGCCCAACAACCAACCAAGTCCCTTGCTTGCTAGCCTCCGAAACCGAAATAACCGGAAACTTCACATCACTTTCCCTATAGCTGAAGTTCATGGTCTTCATGTTGATAGCTTCTCCTAGGGCTTCCTGGGCTTGGGGGTCAAAACCTCTAGGGGCTATACCTCCACCTGCACCTGTGTCCACCAACAACCTTTTCGAAGAACCCCGAACCCCAGCAACAGGCACCGCAACGCGCAAAGTTGAAGCTGCAGCGGACTCACCCTCTGGCTCGCTACTCTCTGGAACTGCTGCGGCGGTCCTTCCTTTTCCGCTCTCGGCCTTCTTCAAGTCCGCGAGCCTCTCTCGGCACTCTTGCTTCGTGTGCCCCGGTTTGTTGCAGTAGAAGCAAATGCGCTGGCCTTTCCCAGCACCGCCTCCTCCTGCACTGTTGCTCTTGTCTTTGTCCTTCCCTTTGCCTTTTCCTTTGTCCTTCCCTTTGCTGTCTTTTCCTTTGTCCTTTCCTTTACCTCCTCTGTCTCCTTTCTTTCCTTTGGGAAACGCCCCGATATCCATGTCCTGGGGCGTGCTCCTCAGATACTGCGGCGTCCTGGCGATCTCCACGATCTCTGCACGCATCTTCGACCACGCGTCCAGCCGGCTCGTGTGCCTCACCAGGTGCTCCTTCACAGCATGCTCCGTCATCCGAAGAATGACGATGCCGATGACCGTGTCATCGTCCACGTCCTTCCCAGACTGCTTCTCATACTCCCGGACCTTCCTCTCGAAGGCCTCCACGCATGAAACCAGGTCCGCCTCGAACTTGTACCTCAGGATCTCCAGGAGCAAACCCACATACCTCGAAGAAAGCTTCGGGTTGTACTCCAGGTAAAGGTGGCGAAAGGCCTCCAGCCCTTCTGATTCGCCAGCATTGTGCAGCTTATCCAGGGTATAGTAATCAGGCCCTTCTCCGCTGGATCCAGGGTCCTGTTCCACGACCCTGCGCTCGAGGTCTCGGCCTTGCGGAGAAAGGCCTGGTGGCGCTGGTCCATTGCCGAAAGATAGGATCTCAAAATAAAAACCCAGTCGTTGAAGGCCGCCGGGTCCCGCTTGAATAGGTCTGTTCGGGGTTGGCGCGGGTGCACCCCTGCTTGGGGTTCGGGGTTCCGCGACCCCTGTGCGGGGTCCAAGCTCACCGCTCCGCGGGTTCAACCCTCAGCCCTTTCTGGACTTGGCACGAGTGCACCCCTGTTCGGGGTTCAATGACCCCTGTTCAGGGGCGCTTGCGTCCATGATGATCCCGCCACCTGACATCCTGACAGGCAGGGCCTGCAGAACTACCTACCTCCTCTTACCTAGCAGACACTGCCTGCCTGCCTACCTACCTACCTACCTACCTATCTACCTACCTACCTACCTGCTTATGTACCTACACCAGGGCAGCAAAGAGAAAGGCGAAGAGCTCGAAGCCGGCGCCTGCAGCGCCTGAATCTGCTGAGCCTGCTGGCCCAGCTGCGCTTGCTGCAGCTCAGCAGACTGCTGGAGCTGCGCCCGGAGCTCCTGGATGACCGCCTCCACCGCCGTCGTCTGCCTCGTCCTCTGTACAAAGAGGCACCTTCTTGGCTCTTCGCTTCCTTTCTTTCTTCTCCTTCTTCTCTCTCTTCTTTTCCTTCTTCTCCTTCTTCAGCCTAAGGGCCCGGAGCTGCCGCTTGACAGTCCTGCTGGCTGCCTGCAAAACGTGAGGCCTCTGCTTCGTCTGCCTCTCGTCGCACGTGGTGCACGGATCCTGAAAGGGCTTTAGGATATGCTCGCCCACAGACCCAGGAGGCAAGAGACCGCTCTCCCTGAGCTCACGCTCGCTCCCTACTTGGAATCCTCGCTGTGTTATAACTAGTTATCTTGGTTAAGTGGAGTTAGCTATTTTTTTATAACTAGTTAATCGGAGTTAGCTAACTATAGTTAACTATGTTTTTCTCGTGGGTTTTCGCAGTATATACTCCATCTAAACATATCGCTCAGAAGCGGTAAAATGTATAGAGAAACCTCTACTAAGAGCTGGCCATATAGGCATTCTCATGCAGCTGATGTCACTTTTTTCAGAGTTTAAATCCCTTTTTAAGGACATATCGACTGTGATAAATAAATAAATATAAATATATATATATATATATATGAACATTATGAACATATTCATTCCAGAGGCTGGCCAAGGACGGCGGCATGCATGTTGGAACCAGAGTCATGCATGTGCAGATGAAGCATGTTTTCAGAGCCTGCTGTATAGCTGGTACGGGATTAGCACGGTGGCCTCTTCGTCTGAGACCTTGCTATACACCAGTGGGTACTGGATGGACTCGATGGGAACGAAACCTTGCTCATTGCTGATGGAGCACTTGGCAGAATGGGATTCTTTGTTCACCGTGGGAACCCAACGTTGGAGCAGTGCGACCTTCTGCAGTCCCAAGTCCAGATGGAACCAGACTTGGCCAAGTTCCCAAAGTCCGTCCTCGTGGTGGAAGACCACCACGTCGTTGCAGTGAATGGTGCCACCCCTGGCGAGCTTGGCGCTCGAAGCAACCATGGCTTCATTTGCTGGGCCATCCAGGAAGTGGCGGAGGAGCTGCAGCTGTTTTTTCGTGGGTTTGTGGGGTTTCACCAACTGGCAAGTTTCGGGAAACAGACCTGGTTCCCTCAGAGTGGTGATCTCCATGGCCACGACCTGGTCCATCAGATTACGTTCAAAGGCACCGGTTTTCTGTAATCTGGTTGCATAGGCTGAAATGGTTTTGTGTTTCCTTTCCGTGGTAAATGTCGATGGCAACGTCCCATGCTTTTGGAGGAAATCTGGCATGTGCAGAAGCCAGTGCCGCTTCTTCATGAGAGGCACTTGGAACTCCGCATAGTGGAAGCACTCCATGGCAGTCTCTGCAGCCTCCAAAAGCTTGGCCCGGGTAGTAGCTCCAAACATGGTGCCTTGGTGTACCATGTCGAGGAGGTTCGCCTGAGCCAGGAAGGCTTGGCATGCCTTTGGGCAGCTTCCAGCTGGCAAGACGATGGTGTACAGAAAACAAGAAGTTCTCGCCTGGCCCTTCGCTGGTCGTTAGATGAACTGGCTTCGGGCAGGCCATGCTCTTTCGTCGCCTGGACGAAAGCCGCCAATGCACTTTGTGAATGGCTTGGCAAGCTGGCCTTGAAGGTCAGAAGGTTTTGGAGTTTGCTTTTCTTCCTGGAGGGTTCCATGGCCACTGAGCAGTTACGGCAATTCGGTTCGACATATACATCTGGCTAGCTCAAAAAACATCTCTATGTATAATGGCATCAAACGTCTGCACTTGCATGAATCCGGGATGTTGGCATAAGCATCCATGCAGGCTGCACGTTAGCTTCCTGATTCCAGAGATATATATATATATGCCTCATTCTGTTGTTCAATGGCTGGCAACCAGTCTGACATAAATTCACGTGGCCAGTGCATGGGACATTTACTTTTATAGCTTCTGCTGCTTCTGCTGGGAGCAAAGACTCTTCCTTATCGATTTAGGTTCGGGAGGAAAGCACGGGCATGTGATTGCCGGCAGGATGCTAGCAACTGATATATAAGCTTCAGCCCTGCCTCTCTCTGCTGGCCAGAAGGCTTCCAATGGATTATGTAAAGAAACAGCCAGACACGGAGGGGCATGGATTGATATAGAAATCAATCATGGCCAATAAGAATGAAAAGAACAAGTGATGCAAATGAAGGCTTACATGCGGTATAGAGATATACATCAGATATATTAGGTATATTTTTTTTATTTTGATGATAGGTATTATTATTATTACTATTATTCATTACTTTTATTAGTATTCTTGTGATTATATATATATATATGTAGAGAGAGAGAGAGAGTTTACTTATACCATATATATATATATATGCACAGGCACACATGTACACATCATAAATTCCAATATGTGTATGTATATATATGTATATATATATACACATAGACATACATGTGTTTGTGTGTGTGTGTCTACATATATATATATATAGACATATACTATTATATATATATATTTATATATATATATATGTATGTACATACATATGTATATGTATATGTATCTATATATCAGGTCTTTCTCGTGCAACCTGTGCATGTGTGAGAGAGAGAGAGAGTTATACAGAACTGTGAAAGAACAGCAGATGCGAGAATCTTTGGCCTCCAGCTATCCCCTGTGGAGCTATCTCTGCATGGAACTGTTGCCATCATGGGAATTAAATAATTCTGAGACAGATCGCCTCTGGAACTGGATGTGCAGGTGGTGAGATGGCGGAACTCACTGGGCAGCTGTTCGCTTGGCTTTCTGCTTGGCCATGTGGTCCCGGTATGTCTCCCGGCCTGGCAATCGCAGACCCGTGTACGTTGGGTCCCGGCATTGCCCGCAGCCGCCTGGGTTGCCGCGGCACTTGGGGCACCCGTACATAGGCATGGGCGACTTTCTTTTGGTGGCAGGGCTCTTGGCCGTTGCCTTGGGGGTCGCCTTTGTCTTGACAGTGGCCTTGGCCTTCGCCTGGGCCTTGGCCTTGGCTTTAGCCGTGGCCTTAGCTTTGGCCTTTGCCTTGGGCAGAAGCTTGGCCCTGGAGTCATCCTGCCTTGGTGTTTTTCTTCTTCTGCTTGAGTGCCTGGAAAGCCTGGTCCTCGAAATCCTGCAAAGTCTTGGGCTGGGTACTTGCTTGCTGCTTTGAGGAGGTTTCGGCCGTGGCACCCCTGCTTGGGTGCCTTCTGGCTCCATGACAACCACGGAAGTCTCCACTGGTGGCTGGGTGGGCTGGCCCGATTCCATGGTCTGGGCTGCCTGCAAAGCTGCTTGCTGCATTGGCTGCTGCTGCTGTGGCGAAGCCACCCGCTGCAGTCGCTGCAGTGCCTCCTGTTGCTGCAGGGGCTGCTGCTGCTGCTGCTGCTGGTGCCCTTGGTCCGGGATGGCCACGCGAGAAGGCTGAAGCATGGTAATTTGTGGCTCAGCTGGCCCTGCCATGTGCCGCTTGGCCAAGTCGCTCAGCAGCCGTGCGGCCTGGGCCCAGCTGTCTTCAGACCTGGTCTTGCATGGGAAGCGTTCCTCCTGCAGCAGGTAATGGTTCTTCCGCATGGGCACCTTTTTCATCCATGCATGCAGTGGCAGAGAACGACAGGCTGGACCTGTACCCTCACCGTAAGCCTGGGCCAACCAGGCTTGGCCATTTTGCTTGGGATTTTCCGGATAGTTGGCCAATCCAGTCGTTGTGGTCTTCGCTGTGCCATGGAAAATGGCACTGAAGTCCTCGACCATGGCATGGACGGCTCTGGGGTGCAGCTCCGTCCTGCCTTGGGAGTGTTGGACGTACAGGATGGTGGCCAGCACCTGGTGGATGGTCGACTCTTTCAGCGACGAAAGGCCCATGGCCCTGAGCCTCTTGGCCAGGACCTGCATCATGTCATCGTTGGACTGGGTGGATTCCAGAAGTGTCCACTCGGCTTGGGTCAGGTAGCCTGGGACATGGTGGATCTTCTGCCCTGCTGTGGTGAGCTTGAGGTGGGTGCCCTCGTTCGCCTGGCACTTCTCGATGGCTCCCTGGATGTTCTCCTTCATGTCCTTGGGCAATTCCATCTCTTCTACTTTCTGTAGCAATTGGATGATGGCGGCCGATGTCCAATGCTTGGCTGCCTGGATCCTTTCAATGAAGCTGATCTGGACGTCCCTGCAGTACCTTAGCTGGCCATGTCTTGGGGATATAGAGTTTCTATTTCTTGGTGAAGTCCGGACTATGCTTTGCTTGCGCCAAAAACAAGCTTCAAAATTTTGCTGCAAGATGGCATTGGAATTTATTTTGGGTGCTTGTGTCTGAAGAAGAAAAGATGTGTCAGTCTATACTGCTTTACTACATATAGTGTATGTATATGTTTATATAGACATATATATATATAGACTGCATAAAATGTACATGTACATATACATATATATATATGTGTGTGTGTGTATACACATAGGAACTGTATCTAAAAGAAAATATTGATGTTTTCCAAAAAAACAAAAACCAACTGGATGCACCCATGGTGGCCAGCTGTGGAGCTGCTGGCACCTCTCCCACCGCTGGTCTTTGTAGTGGCCGATGAACCAGCTGCACTTCTGGGCCCAAGTGGGCTTATTGTCTATAAACATGGTGGGTTGGGAAGCCTCCAACTCCCTGGCGAAGGCTTGGGTCAGCAGGGAGCAGTGGTCCCAATCGTTTTGGCCCCATGCAAAAAGCATCCAGCACATCTTGTGCTTCCACCCTGTGGCACATGGATGTGGCCCATCTGGTGACTGTGCCTGCTTGGCCTCTGCCTTTGGCGCCTGTAGTCCTGGTGGTGGATGGTCTGGTTGCTTTGGCTGCCTCCATGCTGGTGGTGTTCGTCCGGTGGATGGGGTTTAGGCGGGCCTTGGAACCGCCAAGGATCCTGCTGGGAGCTGGAGCTCGCCACTTCCTTGGGACCTGCCACCGCCTCCATCTTTGGTGCTGCAGGTGGGGCGGCCTTATTTTTCGCAGGCGGTGGGACGAGCTTTGAAACATGCTTGCTCGTGGGAGGAGCTTTGGGAGCAGCTTTTTTGGCTGTCGGCGGTTGGAAGGCTTCGGCCGTGGCCTTCCGCTCGGGTGGATCCTTGGCTGGGGCCTCGTGCTCCAAATTCTGCTCGGGTGGATCCTCGGCTGGGGCCTCGTGCTCCAAATGGTGCTGCACGATGGCTGTAGCCAAGGTGACCACCACACCGTCTGGAGTCACCTGTCGCCATGGTGGGGGGTGGCTCCGGCTGCTTTGCCTTGGGCGGTGGTGCCACGAGTTTTTGGAATGTGTGGCCGTGGTTCCTCCCCTGGCTTCTGTCTTGGACCGCTCGGCAATGGTTCTTCTGGGTTGGGCTGGGGCGGCGGTTCTGTGTTTGGCTCTGCTTCTGCTGTCAAGGGTGCTGGTGGTTGCGGTGGGTCCGACTGTGGGGGTTGTTGGTTGGGTGGTGGTACTTCTCCTTTGGTTGGCTCGGATTGTTCTTGGGGTGGTGTCCTTGGCTGTGGCGGTGGTGCCTGGGCTGGTGCTTCCGCCTGAGAAGCCTGTGGTTGTCGTCGTGAAGGAGTCGGTGGTCGTGCTGGCCTCGTGCTTGGTCGTGGTCCTCGTGGCTGGGGTGCTTGTGGTGGAAATTCTGGGATGGGTAGGTTGGGCGGAAACACTGCATAGGGGATGTTGGTGGGTGGGTGGCCGGTCCGGAGCGATAGGCCCCAGTGAAAGGCCTCCAGTGGCCCCATTGGCACGGAAGGCACCATGGAGGCACCACTTGCCAAGATGGTGGCATCGTGGCAGGCACTTGTGGCAAACACCCACCCGTTGGTGCCATGCTCATACGCATGGGTGCCATTCCCACACGCGATGGCGGCGACCAACCAGATGGACAAGGCCATGGAAACGATGGTCTTGTGGCCTGCTGACGTGCAGGCTCCCGTCGTGGCTTGGCCGTGGGAGGCCCATCATTCTCCGGCAAAATTGTGGCCACTGATTCGTGGCCGTCACTGACTGGAGAAGTTGGTGCCATGGTTTCACTGTCGTCTTCCATGGCTCCGAACTGGAAAAATCCAAGAATTTCTACGGCTGGTCTATGGCTTGTCCCACGAGACCATCAAAACTTAGGTTTATTTGTTAAACCTAAGTGCCTTATATTTGCACTTAGGTTTATTTTTCAAACCTAAGTGCAAATATTTGTCACTTCGGTTTGAAAAATAAACCTAAGTGCAATTATTTGGAACTTAGGTTTGAAAAATAAACCTAAGTGCAAAATGCCATTACTTAAGATTGCAAACCAATCCCACGTGTGGCACCAGTGGAAAGCACATCGGAATGCGAAACTATCAATGTTTCTGGTGCTTGGTGCAGATACTAGTGATGCACATCAACATTCGAGCTGGCCATGCGATGGCTTGTGTTTCACTGGAAACATCTGAGCCGCTGGATGAGGCGAGCGACGGCCATACAATGTGGATTGCGATGCTGCTGAAAGCTGCAGTGGAAAAGACTGACACAACGGCTCTTGGCAAGTGTGAGCAAAGCTGCTCGGTGTGTTTGGTTCGGGAAAACTTATGTGTGGAAAACTTCTGTCTGGATACTGCAAGGCACTGTGGAAACTAGTGCAACCTATTCTGCTTAACTTGGAGCTTGTTGCTTGGATTGCTTATGGCTTTGGGCAAAATGGTAGCTTGGGGCTTGCATACCTATAGGGCGAATGTTGTGTGGCTTGGTGGCCGCTACTGGGTTTTTAATCTCTGGCTTCCGAGGTGGCCGGTCTGGCTGGCCACTATATAGGGCTTGTGGGGATTCAATGGTGCATGCTGCATGTGCTGGCCATCCTGGCAAATCTATAACTATCCATCTATTTCTCTTATATATATTTTTCCTTATATATATATACATTTATGTGTCCATTGATATAATCTCTGAACAGATAGATATATGTATATATATATACTTCTTTTTCTTATTCATTTATTTACTGATTTATTTCTTTGTTTATTTGTTTCCAAATATATATATATACTTATTTATTTATTATTTATTTGTTTATTTAGATATATACATATCTATATATATATAGATAAAGAAGTTATGCTTTATTTATTTATTTTCTTTATCTCTGCTCTCTGGATCTATGTATATAAATTTAAATATACATATAAATATACGTATACATATACATATAAATATAAATATAAACGTAAATATAAATATATGTGTGTGTGTGTCTAACTATGTATGTATGTATGTATGTATGTATGTATGTATGTATGTATGTATGTATGTATATGTATGTATATGTATGTATATGTATGTATATGTATGTATGTATGTATGTATGTATGTATAAGTACATAATG